CTCCTGCTCTTCAGTTAAGGGACTAAATCCAACAAGTGGATGTGGTAACAGGGGAATAGGCTTTTGCAAAGCGTGGCTTTAGTGTGCTTGGCTAACGCTTGAATTCATGGCTTATTTTTGGAAGGAGAGAAAACAGATTTTCTGCATTGCATTGCATTGCATAAACAAACTCAGTAACATATACTTAAAGGGAAAATGTTGTTCCTTAGACAGTTAAGCACTTTTGAGATTCCCACTGCAAGGTTCCCAGCTTAAAAACCCCAGGCCGATAGCGCTGATCTCGGGTAAATGGAAGAGAAGGCTGCTTTCAAATTACAATTAATTTTAAAAGCTTCTGCTACAAGACAGCAATATGGGAAGGCCCTGCAAATAGTAAAGACTAGTATTATTTCAGAGTACAAGTCAAAATGCCAGGCACAGAGGTATCTGTCCTTGGAGAGTTGAAGTACGCGTGGTCCCTGGTACAACATTTGTTTATTACATTTCAGCAGTACACGCTGAGCTCTGCACCGGCAGCCACTGGCTGTATTCATCTTAACAGTAAGACCGTGTAATTCAAAGGCCTCTAACATGAGCTTTTCTGCATGCATTTGATCAGAACATGAAGCAATGGGTAAAATGCATTTCAGGCTAAAGAAAAAGAAAAAAAGGAGAAGCAGCACGTAGGATTCATATGTCTGCAGTACTTCTATCATAGTGTTTAAGACGCCACGGCCTTTTCAACTGGCTTCTTAACACTGCTGTGACAATGAAAGCCCACAAAGAAGGGAATCAGAAAAGCTTTATTCCCAGAGTTCACTGGCCATATTCTCTTCTGTCTAGCAGTGATGTAAATGAAGGGGATTGCCAGAGTTGGCAGATCCAAGGTATGAAACAAGCACAGAGGCAGGGGACTGATTTTATTTCAAAGCATCTTCAATTCACTCCGCCCTTTTGTCTTCCTCCTCTGCTGATTGCCTTGGAGCAGCAGGGAGGGTTGCAAGTGAAATTATCCCTGAAGTGGGACCATTATCAGCTCTTCTGTCTGGCTGGGGAAGACAGCCGCATGGGCAGCTTGCAGTGTCGGCTCCCTCACCGGGGAAGACGAACAAGGAGCGCGGCTGAGCCCTAAGCGCGCACACACGCTATGCACAGGTGCTCCCAGTAAAACAGCGCATTTATATCAACCTGCTGGAGTCCACTCTGGCATCAGCAAAAACCCAGCAAGCGTTGTACGTTGGGCTCTTCTCTGAAGGTGGGCCCTTGTCCTTTCGGACATATAGACACCTTGGGGAAGATTTTACGTCTGCTACTGACAACTGGAAACAACACTAGCGATGCCAAAACACCAAACTGTGGTTTAGGCTTTAGGACCTGCTGGAATGACAAAGCATCTGATGACACTCGTGACAGTTCACAGCCTTTTGTCCCTGAAATATTCTCTGCCAGGGAGCGCTACTGAGGGGGTCACAGTGAAACAGCCCTAACAATTCCTGGGGCATAAGCTGCCCTCCAGTCCTGCCAGTCTTGGCTAAACATGGCACATAGGCTGATGCATCTACCCAGGTCTTACATGATCACACATTTACACAGCCTTTCCTAAATTGCTACTAGTATGGACTTTGTTGAGCTTGACACAGAAGGTTTGGTTGGTTTACATTCCCAGATTGATGCAGCCTCTCTGACAGACCTTCTCCCTCTCCTGTAAAGGTTTTTACATAAGCAGTAAAACCCACTCATTCTTTTCAAGATATTTTGACGTGGGAAGTCCCAGAGGGCTTTCCTTGACATCTCCTGCACTTAGGATATTCTCAGTAATGCCAAGCAACGTGTACTTATTCAGTTCCAATGGACTTAGACAAGATTTGCATTTGATAGGAGGCACCTGGGACTTCAGGCAATTTAATGCAGTCACGTAAAATAAACAGTAAATACACATACATGCTAGATCCAAAAAAGCATGAATCACAGTCTATGTAGAAGAGTACCAAAGACCTTGTAATGCACTAAGCATCATTTGCAGCAGTGGAAAAATAGCAAGGCTGGGCCCACCAAGCACCCACACTGCCTAGCAGGTTATGAAAAGTGACATGTGAGCCAAATTTGAGAAGCATATACCTATTTAATGATACTCTATACTGATTTCCATTCTAGAGTTATAATTCAATGTTCATTTCTCTGAGTCCTTTCTGCACCAGTACAAATAGCTTGTCTTAATTCTTTCATAAACTACCAGTGTGGCACATTCCCTTTCTCCTACCTCTTGACAGGTAGTAATAAGGTTCCACATTTGAGTGATTTCATTTGAAGGCTTTATACAGATATACACCCATGTGTGTGTGGGTATGTAACACATGCGTACACACGTGGACAGCTATTTAATTTTGGGCTATTTTAAATGGTGATTTCTGTATCTGAATTCTTTGTTTCCCAAAGCCTTAACACCTTTGTTAAACCATTTTAGCCGTTTGTTGTCTTTCTATATAATGGGGTTTAGATTTTCACCTATGTAAGTTGTGAAGACAGAAATGGTTTGGATTAGCTAATTTAATCAAAATTTACAGGACTCATGAATAGTATTGAGATGGAATCCAGTTTCTTGGAGAAGGAGGCCTATGTTTATTAAATTAAACACAGTCCAACTGGGCTCTGCTCCATCCCAAGTAAGGAAAAATAAAGTAAAATTTGGGTGGCTATCTCAATGAAGCTACCTTATTACATAGCCCTCAATCATCATTGAAACAATGCTGTTTATCAGGTTTATCAAGCACAAACAGCAAAGCACAAATTGTTCCTTCCCCATGTTTCAAAAAAACTCAAAAGGAATAAAAAAATGCTTTAAGAAAACTGGACTTAGGCACATATATTCTTTCATCTTGCTGTGGGAGCTAATATTTGCCTTTATTACTTTCAGGATGTGATTCCAAAAGTACTCAGCACTGATCGTGTTCCGATTCTTCTGGAGTCAGTAAAACTTTCATCAGCTCAAAAAGATAGTACTGATGTTGGCTGCTTTTTTAAAAGAGCTTATTACCTTGGTGTTGCAGAAACATTTGTCTTGAAGGACTGGCAAAGCTTAAAAGAAAACCCAATAACAGAACAAAACAGAGTAACAACCAAGTCTTTTTCTTGTTGAAGTAATGACTCGTAAAAGGGTACAGGCATTCCCTAACCTTCAAAGGTTTTATCAGTTCTGCTTAGAACTGATCATCACCAGTGATGAGGTTTTTAAAGTATGCAAAATAAGATAGCTGGCTGCATTACGACTATGTCAGGTTTCCAGCCAGAAGGCAGAAAAGACAGGCCTCAGCTCCTGAGTTGGAAGACCGAGGAGCAGTGGAGTTTGCCAGGCTCCCAGAGGAAACCGTATCTCAAGTAGCTGTGCTCTGGTTTTGAGGGTAGCAGGTGAGACATACAAAAGCAAGTCGGCCTTATAGAAAACCTATTATAACACAAAGCATTTGGAAACAAGTTGCTGCTTAGAAATTATGGGGACTCATCAAATGATCTTTACTCAGAGACTTTTTTTTCTGAATTCCTAACATGCAACTGAAGAACTGAAGTTGCTTCTTGGCTGTAGTGGAAGCTAAAGAGGCAATCAGTCATTTATACATCCTTGAGGGGCATCTTGGGATATGGTAAGCAATCCAGAATGTCCCTATATCTGGAATGCTCAGAACAATACGTCTGCTGCGGTGTCAGTCATGACATCAGATATATAAACTTCTTCGCAGCCTATACGTGAATTTAAATGTTGATACATCCTGAGGGTACTGTTTAATAGCATCATATTCATTGTGAATGCACTTTACTATATTATGGAATATTTTACCTAAACACTTTGTATCACTGTCACTTCCATTCACTACAATTCATTATTGCTGCAAGAATCATCAAAATACTACTGAAGGTGAATAACTCTAGGGAAGGAAAACAGACAAATGAGCTGGCAGAAATGCTCACCAAGCCACTTCCCATCATTTATCAGCAATCCTGGCTAACCAGGGAGGTCCCACTTGACTGGAGGTTAGCAAATGTGTTGCTCATCTACAAGAAGAGCCAGAAAGAGGATCCAGGGAACTACAGGCCTGTCAGTCTGACCTCAGTGCAGGGAAGGTTATGGAGCAGATCCTCTGGAGTGCCATCACACAGCACGTGCAGGACAACCAGGTGATCAGGCCCAGTCAGCATGGGTTTATGAAAGGCAGGTCCTGCTTGACTAACCTGTTCTCTGTGTATGACAAGGTGACCCGCTCAGTGGATGAGGGAAAGGCTGTGGATGTTGTCTACCTAGACTTTAGAAAGCCTTTGACACCATTTTCCGCAGCATCCTCCTGGAGAAACTGTCTGCTCGTGGCTTGGATGGGTGTATGCTTTGTTGGGTAAAAAACTGGCTTGACAAATTAATCAAAGGACATAGATATTCCAAGTTTGAAACCGAGAGCATTAAGATAGAGAGAACATATTAAAACCAGAAAAATATTGGCTATATTGTGAAGAGCACCCATCCTCTGCAAATTCTCTTTCTTCACAGATACACACAAGACAACAGAATAACTATTTCTTTGAGCTTCATTTTTCATCTAACATCAGAATATCCATAAGGTTGTACCATAATTACTCCAGCAGCTAATTATGATGCCATAGGACAGACCATTGTGACTCAAGGACTAGACTGAGCAGCAGGAACAAATGCAAAGCAAACAATAACGTCTGTGCTTCCACGGCAGCACACAGTGGCTTTAACAATAAATAGAAAAAAGAATACACAGAAGAGAGAAAACAGATGAGAGAAAATTCAGAAAATGTATGGTATTCAGAAATATTCTCTACAGACAAAGTGGTTTTAAGATTAGAATAAGTGTTCCTACAAGCAGTGTACAAACTTTGAAGAATGCAGTGTAAGGGGAGAATTTACAAACACAATTCTCCGTAACAGAGGATCAGGGAAAACTTGTGGTCACATTTATACTGTTTCATGCTGAGCGGATGACAAGGCTAAGAATAAAACTGGTACTTACATCCTGAGCTGCCATTCGTTGGAACCAAAGTGAAATTGGAGGCCCAGGGGTTACGCACGATATCCTGCCAATGAATGGTGTCTGCGAAGCAAAGAAATTTGTTCTGGCCAACATACACCCCTCCATTCAGTATTTCTGCATAAAAGAACAACAGAACATACTTATAAGACTTTAGACATTCACCTGATTAAATCTATTGCTGCTTTGTGTACTGGAGAGGGCGTGAAATTTAAATGCAAAAAATTCTCACTGTAATCTCACTTAATACTCTGAAAACTGGAGGGCAAGTAGCTTACAGTATTTGTAAACAGGAAGCATTTATTTATATGAGGAAGAAACCTGATTAATACAGTCACACAGTGGCTAGGTGAGTTACTGGCTTTACCTGTTGTTCCAGCGTAATCAAGAATGGAACAGTACTGCTATTCGTGGGTGAAATAACCTTCAAGATTTCACTGACTTGAAAAACACAAGCAATCAGCCACACTATGCTGTATTTCATTAACACGTATGAATGCTTAAAACATACAATGAACTAACATGCTCAGCTGGGGTAGGAATTTTCTGAGCCCACAGTACATGAGAAGGGTCCAGTTATCACAATGTCTGGAAAAGCATGTTTTCTGAGCAGACTGTGCTGCTCTAATACCATGATCCAAAATATTCAATGGATCTATGATCCAAATCTCAAATATTATGTTCCAAAGGCACCACTGACATACCTTGCTAGAAGCTTTGTGTCAAAGGGAAATGGTTTCTGAGCAGATAAAAGTTTGTTTTGTTTTGTTAAATGTTCACGCTTCTATCAGTTAGTTTAAAAAAATTGGCTTGTTCCCCTATCTCTAAAGACTTGATTTGTCAAATCTCAACATGAAAATGATCTTACAGTTGTTGGTTGTAGCACCAGAGTTTTCTCTGGAGCAATAACTTTTTTTTTTTTGTTTTTACCCTTTAAACTCTTGTTCAAATTCACAATTTCTCTTCTTAACCTGGCTCTCATATTTCCAAAGCAAAGGACAATCCATGTGACTTTCATTAAAGTTAACAGGAGCTATGCAGCTAAAACCTCCTGCACCACTTAGTGTCAGAGATTCAAGCCTCAGCAAAGAAATGTTGAAGGTTAGTTACTAATGGCACCTTAGAATGACATTAAGTGGTGCTATACAGCCAGGAGTGTCACACTTCTCACAGACACATTAAATCTCAACTATGCTAGCAATGATTAAGGTCATCTGATAGTCCCCATCTCCTAAAAAAACCTTTAAAAGCTGTAGTGGGAATGCTAATGTTGACAAACCACAAGGAACGAGTTACTGCTTTTTTTTTTTTTTTTTTTTTCCTTTTTTAAATATCAGGGTTTACAGGCCACAGCATGTAGAGGAGGTAGCCCCCAAGCAAAGAACGTATTAAATAAAGGATCATCTGTAAATACATCCTTCCACCATATTAATCAGTTCAGAGTATTATTATATATTTCTTGGAAACCTCTGGTTTAAAAGCTTGGCTTTTCATTGAAAAGGGACTTAAAAATGAAAACAATAATAATAATCTTATACAGAAAAGAGTCCAGATTAGAGATATGGCAATGATCTGTCCGTATGATATTCTTATAATCCCTGAAAAAACCCATACAGCATCTGCTAGCAATTCTGTTCTGGGGAAGAAGTGGGACTTAGAAGAACACTTGAAAACATGATTAGTGATGATTTCTCTGTGTTGTCCCAGCTATACAGAACTACATAATCCACTATGGCCTAAATTTCGATTAAAAGCAACATCTAACAAGCCATGAAAAACTGTAAAATCTACATTTATAGCTTCTTAAACACTTACACACGATTCCGAATAGTGTCACTATCAGTTGGTACAGCTAAACACCTGCCACTGGCATAATTTCTGTTTTTTAGAGCATTCACTCATGACAATACCTATCAAATTTTCTTTTCTGCTAGGAACTTTGATGCATTCTTGTATAGCAGGCAGCATCTCACTCTAAAAGTAATTCTAATAGTTTCAATTTCTGGAGAAAGACTTTTTTTTTTCAGCATGAAAGTAACCAGAAAGTGTCCCCTCTGTACTGTGAAGAGAGCTGACAGCTTTCCCTGTGATTTACTAAAAGCCAATGTGGAAAATGCTCTGACTTCCCTCATCACTGAATAATAAGCGTTGTACTTGCTGCCCTTCCCCAAAAACATGATGCAGTGTCTTTATTTGCCCTGCACTGTACCATTTTTCACAGGTGACAGGATTAAAGTTTACAAATCTATTCATGCAGTGAGGCGCTAATAAACCTGTGCAACAATATCAAAGATAGGCGCTCTCAGATATTAAATAACCCTGAATTCCAAGTTTAATACAACCTTTAAAGTACTTGTGCTTGACTCTTCCTGCTTTGTGGGATCCAGACTCATTCCCTTTCTACCTTCCCGTTCCAACCTGCCATCCTACTTTTCTTTATGCCGAGTCCTCGCCACGTGTAAATCGGCACAGACACGTTGGCTTCACTGACTTAACAAACCCAAATGCATTTTGCGCTTCTCTGCCCTCTCTTAGCAAGAACAATGCCTGGAAAGACCTAAGACACCCTGTTACATGTTAAGCAAATGAAGCACAAATGTAATCAATATACAATAGAGTTACTGTATAATGAACTCATCATCATAAAGTCATCATCTCATTTTAATTTACAGCACTGAAAGTGAGAGATAAAGTTAAACAATAAACAGGAGGAGAAAGGCAGGCATCTCTGCCTATGCAGACGAGCTAGCAAAGGAAGCCAGGCAAAAGAGCTTTCTTCTCCTGCATGCAACACCTGAGGTGCCTCTTCGTTGAACTCTTCCTGAGGCTGGAGCAGGAAAGGGAATGACAAGTCCCCTGGTGAATTTTGTGGTTTCTACTGTGAAGAAAGAAGCTAGTTCCTGCCAAAGAAGCACTAAAAAGCACTGCTCACAGTGCAACGTATTTTAAATACCATTTTGGGAAGAGTATTTTTGTCTTTTAAAAGAATTTTTTGTGACATTGGAAAATTGTTAGTCTAAGCACACCACTGCTGCCTGGGCCAGGAGGCAGAACTCGGCTCTATCAACTAGTACCTGAAATACCTACTGTGCCGCACTGGCAACAAATTTGGACTTCTTCGCTGCTCAGGGACACCGAGATACAAAAGGGGATTTTGAAGCACAAGTCCCATTGGCTTTCATTGGGAAAAGAGTTCCTAAAGGTGTCAGATAATTTTGGATGCCTTCCTGTAAGGTACTGATGGCCACATTTAAAGCGTATCATGATTTCCCATTTGGCACCAGGGTTGCAGCCTGTGCTCTGAGCAAAGGAGTAACTCCAAAGTCTTTTGCCACTTGATTCTGAAGTGAATGCAAAACCTTATCATCCTCCTTATTAGAACTACTTTACGGGCTTAAAAGCAGTATAATTCTGTAACCAAAGTTATATGAAAATAAATCAGCAAGTGCAGTCGCCACTGACTTCTGTCATTATTTTGCTTATTGCTGCCAAATGATCATGGGGAACTTATATCTGCATATTATTACAATTCTCTTAAATGGTTATTTATTCAGGAAGCTAAATCACAAATGTATTACCCACTATATCTGCTATTTTCTTGCTTCCATTAGCCCAGTGATGAAGCAGAACCATTACCACCTAACTTTGGTAACCTACCATACAATACTTACAATACTAACAGGAGAAATGGAAACATACAGGTCTCTGGCAACCACAAAACACATGCATCTTACACTTTCCTTAAAGTGCCGTGAAACATAGATAGGTACATCGCACACAATTTATACTTAATCTGCTAAGTTCAAAAAAGGAGCTAAATTCATAACATCTATTCTAATATTATGAAGACTTTGACTGGAGTCAATGAAAATGCAGTATCAGCCACCAGAAGCTTAAAATCACTATTAATAATCAAAGGGACACTAGCTCTAGAAATGTGTTGTCTGTTTAGACCAGAGATGGAAAGAACTGTTCTTCATCCATCTGTTAAAAGGGCATTTTCTTCAGCTGACTTTTTCTTGTGTGCAGTGTAATCCCTCATGGTCTGTTATCTAATTTCTAACGTGGATTAAATTGGCAATACATATTCACATTCTGCAATGTATCCTGAAGTGCAAGTAACTCGTGTGTGTTGATACGCAGTGGGGGCTGTACGCACCTATTTAGCAATAGAATCTGTTTCTAAAATTGTTATAAAATTGGTTATAACAATATATATATATTGGTTATTGCTAGTCAAGGTTGCAAATTAAAAGCTCTTCTCTGGTGCTATAAAGCCAGCTGCCACGAAGAAGGCATAGTGAGAGGGAAAAGAACTAGCTCTAAAGTGGGCAGAGATAGGGGAAGGAGCTAATTAGGAAAAACCATTTGGCACAACCACTGTAACCACCTCAAAAGCAAACCAGAAGATATCTTATACCAAGTTGATTGTCTGCTAAGGAAACAGCTGTCTTTTACACCACACCATAGGGAGGCGTGTACTCTGCATATACACATTACATAATGCATGTTGATGATACTTTAATTTCCAAGCTCTTCATTAGAGCTGAAGCATCTTTGCGTGCTGACAGAGCCGCATCTTTGCCACCATCACCCAGGTGATGGGGAACTGTTGTCAGATACTGTATCACTCTCAAAACACTGGCATATTTCACCCAAGATGCTGAATGCATTATCTGAAAATGGCTTTGGCCTGGAAATTTCATGCCAAACCAAGTCTTTAGATCTCTTAGCACAGTTGATTGCTGATGACCCACTGGGAAAGCACTTCAGGTCCATCATTAATAAGCTATGTCTTAAAGGGTAATGAGAACTGGGTGCTTTAGGAGACAATAGCTCATCCATCATCAATCAAGATCTGAAGTTTTTAAACAGATGATTTAAGAAGAGTTGGACTGTGTAAAATTGAAATGTCACATTTGTATTGGGAGATGGGGGGAGCTTGGTAATGAAAATGAGAGTTTTAACCTTCTGCATTTCAGCTCAATGACCATACTCAAAAGCTCATGGATGTGGAATCTGTGTACCAGCTAGAAGCCCCAGACAGCCTTCGATCTCAATTATACAATTTCAAGTAAAGATTATTTGGGTCATTAGCTGGAAGTCAGTTTCAAGGC